ATTTATACTTTTCTTATTATTACAGCGACCATAGGTTTGAAAGACAATAAGGAATCATGAAGAAGCTTCTTTTGCAAGAACATCACCGAAAAAACCGACAGAACTATCAACAACAACGCAACACAGTGCCCTCCATTGGTGCGTGACTGACTTGCAGGAAAACAAAGATGAAGAAGGAAAGTGAAACCAAGTCAATTGGAACCGCCGCAAGCACTCCAATGAGTCGTGACAAGGACAATTCCATGCACCATACTTCTGATCTAGAAGCAACCGATATAGGCTAGGAGCCACACCTCAAATCACGTGCCCCAATTTGACTCTGACTCAACCAGACCAGTTCTGCTCACAATCCCACTGTAGGGGCAATTCCGAGGAGAGAGCATTTTACTTGGGACACACCTTTGTGAGAGACACACCACTTGTCCATATAAAGGTTTTAGATGGACAAGTTGTGTGTCTCTCACAAAGGTGTGTCCCAAGTAAAATGCTCTCTCCTCAGAATTTCCCCTACAGTGGTATCAGAGCCTTTGGTTTCGAGATAGGGACCGGCTTACTTGTATCGAGCGGTGGTACAAGTGTATGTGGAAGAGAGTCATTCCACATGAGGGGGAGCACTGTGACTCACACTTGAGGGGGAGTGTTGAGTATCAAGTGTGAGGAAGAAGTCCCACATTGATTATAAAAGGGAAGATTGAGCACTTATATATGAGAGGACCCACTCATCTATTACCTTAAGGTTTTAGATGGACAAGTGGTGTGTCTCTCACAAAGGTGTGTCCCAAGTAAAATGCTCTCTCCTCGGAATTGCCTCTACAGTGGTATCAGAGCCAAGTAAAATGCTCTCTCGCCGCAGATATTTCTCCGTTCTCAGCCAAATCCACCGCCATCCACTGCTTCAGTAACAAAATAGAAGAATTGTAGATCTGATGCAGTATTGTTGTTTTTATCGTGTAATCTTTTTTTTATAATAATTTTATAAATGATGCCACTTGTCAAATGTTGGATGGTGGCCACTTTATTTTGAAAGAGTCAAGACAATCCATAGAATTTGTCCAGGTTCCTCCTCCTTCTTTATGCACTATCTACTATGTTTTTTTTATTTAATTAGATTATTAGGGTTTTAGTAATTGGGTTCTTGGGCTATATATTTCTACCACTTTACTAAACCTATACCATACTTCTAACTTAGCACCCCATAGTTTTTTTTGTTTTTTTTGGTTAATATTAGTTTAGTTAATAATATTAGTTAATTAATTATAAAGAATAATTAATTTTGTTTCATTAATAACAAAAAACAATAACAACCTAAAAATAATTAATTTAATATTTTAAATCAAAATATTAAAATCCATTAAAATTCACCAAAATCATCACCCGCGAATGATACGTGACCAATACATGGTCATGTGATAAGTAGACTATATCAGACTCCCCCGCTCTACGTCTTAATATAGCTAACCAATCAAAAAAATTTCTACTAACTTAATCAAAACTTCAAGATCATTTTCCAAAAAGGATTAAATAGCATTGTCTTCGAATCAAACTGTGAACTGCATCTACGATCACACAACTTACAACCCAGACAAGGTTCAAGAGTAATTTGAAAGCAATTCTACGCAATCCTCTAAAAAACACCAACCAAACACTGCAAACTATGAATTGAGACCATGATTCCTCCTAAGAGGATACGTAGGCATACGACTGAAAATCCTGGTGAGTTCCCCCAAAAATATTAAAACTTTATTTCTTAAGCCATAATTCTAAACCCTAGTATCCTCGTGGGTAGACGAGGGGTGCCTAACACCTTCTCTTCGTCTAAAAATGAGTCAACAACTTAGAATATCTGACCATATTAGGGTTATCCTTTATATTCCATTCCTTAGGATAAAAATTAAGGGTGGCGACTCTCAATTTAAAAACGGTTACAACACCTACCTTGTTAGAAATTTGATAGGAACCAATAAACTGAGGAGTAATCTTTCTCGATTTATAAGCAGATCCAACACCAGTCATCGAAGTAACCTTCAAGAATACATGGTCTCCTTCTTGAAACCCAAGACCCTTCATCCTCTTGTCATGGTAACACTTTTGTCTACTTTGCATTGTTTTCATCTTATCCTAAATTAACTTCACCTTTTTTGTAGTCTGTCGACAATCTCAGGTCCAAGCACTACACTCTCACTAGATTCATACCAACAGAAAGGTGTCCTACACCTCCAACCATACAATACCTTGAAAGGTGCCACTCCAATACTAGAATGAAAACGATTATTATAAGTGAACTCTATCAAGGTAATATAACTATCCCAAGTACCTCTTTATTCAAGAACAAAAGCTCTCAACAAATCCTCCAACGACTAAATAGTCCTCTCCGTCTGACCATCTGTCTGTGGATGATACACAAAGTGATTAAGGGGAGAATTAGGAGGAATTTCCTAGGTTCTATTATCTTAGAAAAAGGAGTGTTGGAATCTGTAGGTGAAGTTAAGGAAGATGTTAGCCGACATTTTCATGAGAAGTTCTTAAAATCTGATATGAATAAACTACTTCTTGTAGGGATTTCCTTTAATGTTTTGATAGATAGCGAGAAAAGTATGGTGGAAGATGTTTTTCTTATAAATATATTAAGGAGGCAGTTTGGAAGTGCGATGGGTCGAAGAGCCAGGATCCGGATGGATACAATTTATTTTTTATCAAGAAGTGTTGGCATTTCATGAAGGACGACGCGATGAGGTTCTTTAAGGAATTTTATAGTAAGTATATGCTTGCTAAATCTATTGTTTCCTCTTTTTTTAACTCTTATCCTGAAAAACAACAATCCCCAAGGGCTCAACGAATACCGGCCCATTTGCTTAGTATGATGTCTTTATAAGATAATGATGAAATTTTTAGCTATTAGAATTAAATGTGTGTTGAGTTTGATAATATCTAATAGGCAGATGACAATTGAGGACCACACTCACTTGCCTGGAAAACATGCATCTTTTGAAACAAGAGCAAATAATACAACTTCAAGAGGCATTATTTTCACGGTAAATTATTATTACTAATATTTCATATTTAATTCATTTCTTTTTCTCACTCAATCTATGTGTTCTATAATACATAAAACAACCTAGTATTACTGGGTTAACCCAGTAATACTGAAAATAAAAAGTTCAATGAGTTCAAGCCGAGATCAAATATATAAGTTGTAAATATCTAAGTTGCTCTTTTTTTATAAGCAGTGCTAATTTTTTTTATACTTGCTCATATGTTTATGAGCACATGAGTGTCACATAAGATCAAGCGAGAGTTTAAGAAATTTGAGAAGGTGTCAGGTATGTTGAGCAGCAAACTGACTGTTGATGTGGATTCCTACTTGACAAAGTTTGTTTGTTTCAAATTATGGTTGTAGACTAAAATCTTTTCGAATACATACTCACTGTTATGTTTGTGATTTGAAACATGTATCTTTGATATTAAACTGGTTAACTCCTATGTTTATTTAAATTTTGAAAAAATAATACTTTCGGATTTACCTACGGTTACTACCTGCGGATTTAAAGGCGATTATTGCCTGTAGGGTTTACCAATGCTTTAACTTGCGGAGTTAGCTACGTTTATTACCAGAGGGGTTACTTGAGTATTTACCTACAAAATTTTCTTGCAGATTTACCTATAATTGATTGTTGCGGATGTTCCTACCGTCTTTTCTTGCGGATCTTCCTACAAATATTTTCCTGAGATTTTTCTGCAGATTTTCCTACTGTCTAACCCAGCGGATTTACCTACAATTATTTCTTGTAGATTTTTCTATGGAACATCGGGTTTTCCTTCGAATTTATCTAGTGTTTTTCCTGCAAACATAACTGCGATTTGTTTCTTGCGGATTTTCCTACAATTATTTCTTACGGATTTATCAGATTTATCTGCAAATTTTCCTACTGTTTTTACTTGCAGGTTACCTTCGAATCTTACCTCCGGACTTACCCGCGATTATTTACTTGAGGACCAAGTCAACAAAAAAATATCTACTTGAAACATATATTAAAAATATTATACCAAAGGGGGAATAAATACTACTGAAACACACCTATTGGGCTACTCCCTTGATCCCTTAACAATAATGAAAAATCTTAACAACCGTGGAGAAAGATACACACAATGAATAAATTCATACCACCTTGAAAATATATTTCAACCACCATTTAAAATCCAAAATATTTTCTCAGAAATCCTCATCATTCCATCTATAGCACTCGGATAAAATAGTGCATAGGCAGACATATTAAATTTGCAGGATTTAAAAAAATTAACAGTTGAAATAATTGATAAATAAAAAATTATATAAAAAATGATAAATCCATAAATTGTAAACTCAAAGGTTTATTCTCTCAATAAACTTAAAAATCAGCTTTGTCAAAGAAACTCATAGTGGTTCTAAAAAAATGAAAAAAAATCATGTGTTGGTCGAGATTTTGTTGAGAAATTGCACTATACACGACGATGATATTCAAAAAGATATAGTATTGAAATATTCAACAAAACAAGTTATAACCAATATTTTATATTATTATAATAATTTGAATTGTAATCAGAAACCCTTGTTAATTATTTATGGACTGGCTAAATCAGAAATGGTCCTTCTATATATGCCTTGTGAAAATATATTAGTGACGTTACGATTCTCATATAATTAATTACTCAAAAAGTTTCCACATACCACCAACTATTGTTGATAATTAAATATCTAGAAATAAGACAAAGTCTAAACTGATCTTAATTTGATTTATTCCAAAACTTTCCATTTTTTTGACACATCTTTCCATTTTAAAATTTGATTAACTTTGGTAGGGAGAATTAGCACGGTAGTTGTTAAAGATTAAATGCAAACTACTTCAATGTTTTAACCTTATAAATAGAAAGCTATAGATGCAACATAATTCAATTCTCACAAGCAAATAATAACTTACATAATAACAAACAAGAACCATTAAATAGTAGTAGTGAGTTGCAAAATGAAAGTTCTTTACCTCCTTGTTAGCATCTTGGCTTTGGCATCTTCTGTTTCCTTTGCTTATGACCCAAGCCCTCTCCAAGACTTTTGTGTTGCAATTCAAGATCCCAAAGATGGTGGTATGTATATATTTCTTAAAAATCTTATCATGTTCTTCTTTTCTCTTAATTAACTAATGTTAAGATTTTTTTTAATATATTACATCTATCTCTCGATAATTTGCAGTATTTGTGAATGGAAAGTTTTGTAAAGATCCAGCGCTAGTCAAAGCTGAAGATTTCTTCAAACATGTTGAACCTGGGAATACTTCAAATGCATTGGGCTCTCAAGTGACTGCAGTCACAGTAGACCAACTATTCGGATTAAACACACTCGGCATTTCTTTGGCTCGAATTGATTTTGCACCCAAGGGTTTAAACCCACCCCACACTCACCCTCGAGGCACAGAGATCCTTATAGTTCTAGAAGGTACTCTTTATGTTGGATTTGTCACTTCCAATCAAGATAATAACCGTCTCTTCACCAAAGTACTCAACAAGGGTGATGTGTTTGTGTTTCCAATTGGTCTCATTCACTTTCAACAAAATGTGGGATATGGCAATGCAGTTGCTATCGCTGGACTTAGCAGTCAAAATCCAGGAGTTATCACTATTGCAAATGCTTTGTTTAAATCTAACCCACCTATTTCTGATGAAGTTCTTACCAAAGCTTTTCAAGTGGATAAGAGTATAATTGATTATCTTCAAAAACAGTCTTGGTATGACAACAACTAGTTTGAGAGCATGATTAGTCATTTCATTTCCAATGAATTATCTACATACTTTTATATTTATTGTAATAAATAAAAACCATGTGAGAAATATTTAATTCCATATCTCCTTTAATTTAAATTCATACTAGAACAATAAATATTTGTCTACCTTACTTTGGAATTACAAGTATTTTTGGTAGTACTAACATATATTTCAATTAGTAATTTGATAAAAAAAAGTTTTAAGTGAAAGAAAGTAACTTCAACAGAAACTTAACAAATATTTCACTTGTAAAGTAGAATAAATAGCCACGATGAATGAGAGGTTTGAATTGTCATTATTTAAAACTGATGTGTCACATGTATTTCAAAAGAAAACTTTGAACTTAAATAATGTCAGTTTTTATTTACACAAATAATGTTAGTTTTTTAACAGCATGTAATTGTAACATGAGGAAGTTTAACTCAGCAGATGTTATAGGTAATAAGCTTATGTAATATAAAAAATAAAAAATAAAGTAACTAGTTAAGGATAAAGAGATGACTCTCAAAAGTTGGGATATTTCATTATGGTGTTTGAAGGAATTTTCTCAAGAATTGGGGCTTTAAAACTTATTAGTTACAAAGGACTTTAAAATATATTTTCTTTTTGTCTGAGGAGGTAACGCCAAGTAGTTTGTTTGCCTTATGACTTATAACGCGAAGTAGAGAAGCTTTTCTTTTCAGCTTTCACTCCGCCTCAACAACACCCTTTTCCTTCCGTCAGTCTCAGTGTCATCTCTAAACACCGAATGTTTGTTTGTTTGTTCATTATGTTTGTTTGTTCATATTAACGTGTTATTTATGTTATTTAAATTTTTTAACGATTTAATTTTGGACTGCAACTGGAAAATGAGTCGAAAAATTATTTGTGGTTTATGCACTTTTTGTTTGAGTACTACAATTTTTGTACTATATATGTTAACGGGTTTTGTACAACCAATAGACTGCACATATTCTTTTGAGATTTTGTTGTTGTTAAATTGTAATTCAGTGTGTCGAAATTATGTGTCGAAAAGATTAGATTTGTTTTAGATTTAAATAGATTTGATTTAAGTCTAGAATAGATTAGATTTGATTTAGTAATAAAATATATGTTTTGGGTTTTGGGCTTAGGGTGTAAACTCAGTTATAAATAGAGGGAGTAACCTTTTTTTTTGTAAGCAAGTCAAGTAAGTCATTCACAGTATTTTGATGTTGCAAAGTGAATAAGAAAGTTTTCACAGTTTGTGAGCAGAGAGAAACTCTGCAGAAATTATTTTTCTTGTCTTCTTTCTTTGTTTGTCTCATAATTAAATTGTCATTGTGGTAGAAATTCATCATAGACTTTGGTGAGTTTCTAAAATCTGGTATCAAGAGCTTTTGTTTCGATTCAAGAGAAGTATCAATCAAGAACGATTGAAGAATTCACGATGACAAGTTATGTGAATGCAAACTATCCAGCAATCCTACCAATTCTGAAAGTTGACAACTATGAGAATTGGTGCAAACAGATGAAAGTCTTATTCAGGTGTCAAGGTCTTTGGGATCTTGTAAAAGATGGAGTCGAAGCGCTTGGAGAGCATATGATTAGTCATTTCATTTCCAATGAATTATCTACATACTTTCATATTTATTGTAATAAATAAAAACCATGTGAGGAATATTTAATTCCATATCTCCTTTAATTTAAATTCATTCTAGAACAATAAATATCTGTCTACCTTACTTTGGAATTACAAGTATTTTTGTGAGTACTAACATATATTTCAATTAATAATTTGATAAAAAAAAGTTGTAAGTGAAAGAAAGTAACTTCAACAAAAACTTAACAAATATTTTACTTGTAAAGTAGAATTAGTGAAATACCCATACGTTCGTACGGGTATCGATGTGATACGCGTATTTGTTTTCAAAATATAATAAAAATATAAATAAGTAAAAATATAATTATTTTGCTAAAATAATTTGTTATTTTTAAAATCCATAAGTTCTTTGGGTGGTGCTAAAGACTCAGGGTTACGGTACCAGTCCTCCAAATCACTTGTGGGAAAATCCCATCCTGATGTATTCAACATGATGCTTCAAATCCTTGAAGATGGAAGCATGCATATTGTGTCATAAGCATTCAACTAAAATAAGTAAATATCAGTTTACTTGCAAAAAGATTAATAAATTGTTCTGAAAACATATTTTAAATATTTTGAATGAGAACACAATTTTATGTGCACAAACTCAAATTGAAGATAGCCTGTATCAATTTAAATTGAATTTCAATCTTCTTTTTTTACCAAGTAGTTCATTCATATGTTTAAGGAACTTTAGTTAAAGACAAATACATAAACTGTTTTTACCAACTTGTAGACTTTGAATCTTCAATTGCATCAAAGTCTATAAGGTATTTATGATAAAACTTGTTAGTCTACTATCTTTAAGGTATTTTACAACTTCAAATCTCATACACATTTTCTGCAAAAGAAGAGCAAAAATTTAGATTCACATAATCAAACTATAGATCAAACAATGTCAAGCCCATAGAAGCACACTTATACCACCTAACAAAAAATCATGTAGGAAAAAACATAAAATAAACAAATATAAAGTAAAGCAATAATAGATATTTTCAATAACTTTCATACATATTCTGAATTATCCATTTTCTTCGACGGACATTGAAATACACTCGAAGCAAGTAAGCACTCTAATTCTCTGCAATTGGAGATTTAATGCTTTCTGGTCCTAAATTAACTTCAATTTCATGACCCGCGAAGAGAAATACAACATTATATTTAACAACAACAAAAATAATAACTTGAATAAGATCCATCATAAAATTGAAAGGAAATAAAATCTTGATTGATTATAAGGCGTGAGCAGAAAAATACAACAAAATAAAACCCCAAAGCCAAACCAATGTTCACTAAAATAGATTTCAGACCCTCTGTTGCATCTCTTCCAAACTCAACTCCTTCGTCCATGCTTTCTGCTGGAAGAACAAAACCTCTCTCACAATCCCTTTGGAGCTTCTTCTTCTTCTTCATCACAAGAGCCCTCTCTTCATAAAGTCTCATTTTATTGCCTCGGGATCAAGATTATCAAACCACACCCTCTTTAACGCAAAAATCTTCTGATTAGTTACGTCACGAGCCTTATAAACTGTACTATAAGTTCCTTGCCCAATCTATATAACAGAATATAAAAAAAATTCTTAGTTAAATCAACAGACTACTATCATATATTTGATCATAAAGAACATCATAGAGTTTTCACCAAAAATAGAAAATAACAATTATACAAATTCGACGACATCAAAGGGGTGCATATGAAAAGAACAACATGAATGACCAAACAGAGTACATAGAAAACTGCTTCATTTCAGATGGTTACATACTTTAGCTCAGTACAAAAGAACACAACATTAATAAAATAGTGATTATTTGAATGGTAAAAGACACGTAATACCCGATATAAGAAATCCTAGACCTTTTTTAAAACTATGAGCATCATGTGGAGCACAATCAACTTCCAGCATCTGGCTTAAGTGAGATAAATATTGAATGTTTGATTAACTAACAAAGTTTGTTCAAAGAGTAAAAATATTAGTACCAGAATAAATAAACTTAGGAAAATCAAATAAAATGAAATTATGTAAGACTTAGAAATCAACAAAAAAAATTCACACAATTCTTCTAGCAATCATAGCATGAGACTGAATTTTAGTAAGAGGACTATAAGTTGAATGTATTATAGAGAGATTAAACTATATAAGTAAACAAAAGGATGCAAAGGCATGTTTGAAACTATGGAAAAGATAATTCAACACAATTTTGAATAATACAATTTGTCATCCATTACCTATAATAATAAACCTGTCAATAGATTTAGATCTCATATGATCTAAATAGACAAATGTTGATCACCCTAGTGAAAATTACAATTATACTTCAGCATGCCAAATTTAAATAATTCAAGACAAGAAAAGTGCCACTTAGAATTGAATTCTAAACACTAAAAGGTAGTAAACTCAATGTATAGATATAAATATTACTGAGACTGAAACAATATTGGTGTTTTCCACTCTGCACATCCCCATCATAATTCTTGCAGGCCCATACATAGCCTCCATCACTTTTTAACAGCATATGCAACCACATCATCTATAAGACGGTGTTCATACCTAAAAATCTAAATTCAAGAATGTGAATTAACAATGTACTAACAATATACAATAGCCCTGTTCAATTTGCAAATTGATTTTTAAAGTTCAATTATTTAAAGATTAGTACAATTCTGAGAAACTACCTTAAAACTTAATGAGCAACTCAATTAGAGGTGACATATATCATGATACCTATATGATATCTCTGTTACTGCCTATGTATCAGCAGCAGTGTAATAAAAATGGGCGACATGAGCTGTATGCATTATTAATAATACCTATTATTGCCTCTATATCAGCAGCAATGCCTGCTCCACAACAACTTGTCTTATACACTGATCAATGTAAGTGTACGCAATAACCACCCTTCAATAAGGTCCTAATAATCAAATGCATGAAAAGAAACCAATTAGATTAGCATTAGTCATAAAATGTATCATAAACTCAACAAATAAAGAAAATGTCACAGCCAAAAAGAAATAGAAATCTTGATTTTTCATACCTATCCCTGGACTTATATTTTGAGGACCAATGGTATCATAGTTATCAAAGTGAGATACATCACCAGACAAGTGAACGCATCGAAATGGAAATTTTAGCACACGACATGTTTCTTCATGAACGACTTCCCTGTAAACATAACAACATCAGTGAAGTTGCATAGTCCAAGATGATAACTAATAAGTCTATGTAGAATGGAAAAACACAAGAAGGAGGGGGGTTGAATTGAGATTAAAACTTAAAATTAAAAGACACGTTGGTTATACTGATTCGTTTGAACTCAAACTACTCTAGTCCACCCGCCAAGGTGATTTCGCCTCTCTCAAACAAGGTCTTAATCCACT